AAAGTCTATGGAAAACCATGAAAAACGGCCAAATGGAAATCCTAGAACTGAAAACCAAATAAAGGTAAAATCCAATGGATGAGTTTAGCAGCAGATTACTGTGCAGGTAAAGCACAAATTAGGGAAGCGGATGATAAATTGGAAGAAAATACCCACACTGAAGAAAAGAAAAGGGAAACACAGACACAAAAATAACTTAAGAAACTCAGGGAATACTGAAAGCTAATCCAACACAGGTATATAACTGCAGTCCCAGATAGATTAAATGGAGAGACTGGGGCAAAGTCATTACTTGTTGTGGTGAAGTTTGAGAATAATCAGGTCTAAGAATTCACAACAGTATAAAACAACAGATTTAGGAACTACAAATCCCAAATAGAAGAAATTAAAATGAAAGAAACTACAGTTAAGCACATTAAAAAAGAACTTCAAAAAAATCAAAGACAAAATCTTAAAAATAGCCTGGGAAAAAAGAGTATTTCCAAAGAAGGAACAATAGGACGGACAGCTGATTTCTGGAGATTAACAACAGATGGTAGAAGAGAATGGAATGGCATTCTCAAAGGGCTGAAAGAAAATAAATACAAACCTAGAATTCTATACTCAGCAAAAATAACCTTCAAAGATTAACCTGAAATCACATTTTGAACGGAAAGAAAATTCACCATTAGACCTGCATTAAGGTAAATAAAGAATATCACAGATGAAAGGTCAGACATGAAGAAACGAATAAAAGTGGAAAGGATAAATTTATGAGTAAATCTTGACTATATAAAATAATAACAACAATGTCTTGTGATGTTAAAGGTAAGTTGAGAGCTAAATACAGGTCAAAATAGTATATAAGTTAAGAGTGAAAGTATTCCAGACCCTTACTTTGTCAGAATTGGCAAAAGTATTAACTTAGATAAAGTTGTTGATAATCAGTAAAGAAACAGCAAAATAGTGACTACCAAGCTGGTGAAAAAAAAAATATATATACACACACATATATATCACTAAAAACATACATTAAAAGCAAGAAAAGTAAATTAGAATAGTTGAGATAATTAGAATTCATATTGTACAATGATAAGATTTAAGCATAAATGCATCAATAATTATATTAAATGTAAATGGGCCAAACTAATTGAAAGACAAAGACTGTCAAACTACAAATCAAAACTTGTGGGATGCAGATAAGGTTGCATTTAGAGGAAAATGTATAGCTATATAAGCACACATTAGAAGAGAGGGCTGAAATCAATGCTGCATGTATCTATACCAAAAAGCTACAAAAACCACAATACAACCTAAGAAAATACAGCATAGAAAAATAATAAAAATAGTAGAAATTAATCAAATTGATACTCAACAAACAACATCCATAAAGTCAAAAGCCAGTCTTTGAAAAGAATAACTGATAAACTTCTGGAGAGAATGACCAAGGAAAACGAAAGCAAAACAAAACAGCAGCGATAAAGAGAAAAAGCACAAACAACCAATACCTGGAGTGTAACAGAGGACATCACTAAAGGTCTGACAGACGCCAAAAACACCAGAAAAGGATATGACACCAAAAACCACTAAGCCAAAATTCAAAAATGTATAACAAAGGCATATATTTCTTTAAAAAAAATACAACTTAGCTAAAGTGATCCAGGGGGAAAAATGTCCCATTAACTATTTTAAAAATTGAATAAGTAATCAAAAACCTTTGCACAAAGAAAACCTTAGGGTTAGATGGCTTTAACAGTAAGTTTCACAAGATATTTAAGGAAAAAAATAATATCCATGTTAAATAAACTTTGCCAGAAAACAAAAAAGGAGAGAGGAATGAAGCTTAACTCATTCTGAGGCCAGCATAGTCATGACACCAAAACGTGACAAGGACATTATGAGAAAGGAAACTGCTTGGCAATCTCCCGCATGAACACAGTTGCAATCATACAAAATAAAATATTAGCAAATCCAAGTTTTCACTACATAAAAGCTAATGTATTACAATCAAGTTGGCTGGGGTTATTTTAAAAATGCCAGTTAGAATTTATATTCAAATAAATCCATATGCTTTACTTCATTAACCAAATAAAGCCAAAAAATCATACAAACGTCTCAAAAGATGCTGAAACAGCACCTGATAAAAATCAATATCCATTCGTACTGAAACCCTGAGCAAACAAGGAATGGAAAGGAAACTTCCATAAGCTGATAAATAGCACCTATCAAAAACAAGTAGACAAATGAGTAAACAATACAAACAAAGTCCCCACAGAAAACATGGCACTTCACAGGAAACTGGGAACCAGACAAGTGTGCTTGCCTGGTATCATGACCACAATTCAATACTCTACTGGCAATCTCAGTCCATTCTACACAATAAGCAAGTAAAAGATATAAAAGGCATTCCAATCAGAAAGGAGGCAATCTTGTCATTATTTATAGATGACAGGATTCTAAATGTTGAAAATTCAAAACAATCTATTAATGATTAGGATATCTGAATTTAACAGGGTTGCTGGACACAAAGTCAACAGTCAAAAATTGACAGCTTTTCAAAATTATAAAAACCAAGCCATTCACAATAGCAACCAAAGCCATCAAATGGCTTGAAATATATTTAATCAAATACATGCACGCCTCCTTAACATAGAACTATTAAGAAAATATTAAGAAAAATTAAAGAAGGTAAATAATCAATGTTGTAAAAATAGCAAGTCTTCCTAATTTGAACCACAGAGTCAACGCAGTCACGAACAAAACCCCACTGGTATCAATTCCAGGTAGAATCAGCTCCTAAGAGACAATTAAAGAGGACGTACCCAAGATTTTGAAGAAGAGAAAGATTTCTCGAGGCACAAAATCACCTAAAGGAAAAGACTGAAACTGTATTAGAAGGGAGAATTTCTGTGCCTGAAAGATAACATTAAGAGAGTGAACAGGCAAAGTACAGAGCGGAAGAGGAGATTTACAGCATGTACAACTGGCCAAAGGCTTGATTCCATAATATAGAAAGAACAACTCCAAATCAAGAAAAAGGGAGACTCCCCCATCAGAAAAATGGGCAAGAGACTTGAACAAGCACTTCACAAAGAGAGGAATATTCATTTGGCCAAAAAACTTATGAAAATAAACTGTATCTTATTGGTAATCAAAGAAATGCGGCTGAGGGCACTAGGAGGAGCTGAAATTAAAGTGACTGACAGCAGCAAGTGTTGACAAGGACATGGAGCCACAGGAACCCCCGTACGTGGCTGGTAGGAGTGTAAAGTGGTACACCACTTTGAAAACTTTTAGGCATCATATATGAATACTGACAACATGCATGCCCCAAAGTTCAACAACTCCACTTCACATTTGGCCACATGTACCAAGAAACATGTACAAGAATGCACACAGCAGCATTGCTTTTAATAGCTCTGGTTAGGAAACAAGCCAAGTATCTAACAACTTTAGAAGAAATGACTACATTGGTGCATTTATAAATGGGACACCACACAGCAATATATAATAGATAATGAATGACCTCTTGCTGAATGCAAAATGGGGATGAATTTCACAAGCATAATGTCCAGAGAAAGAAGCAAAACACAAAAATCCTACATATTAAGGGTTCCACTTACATACATTTCAAAAGCAGGCAAATTAATCTCCCACGTTAAATGTCAGGAGAGGAGTTATCTTTGGGGAAGGGGGAAGTGCATAAAGCCTTCTCTTCCTACTTATGGGCCAGCCCTACAAGAGTACATCGCTCTACTCTCCTTACCCGGAATTCTGTTACCTGAGGAAAATGTACACCTCGGCTCATTTGCAGTATTACCAGGAACAGACAAGTTCAACTAAGCACGGAAGTCCAGGGCAGAAACTCAGCGTGTCCATGACAGTCCCCTCACTCTGGTGATTAGATCCTGACTGTCTGCGTCACTTAAAACAACAAGTTGTCCATAGAAAGGATACAAACACACAGTGAGCCAAGGGCTCTTTTAAGTGAAGATCTGAGAGGATGCTCAGAGCAGACTCAGCCCCACGGTGGACCCTGCACCCCGGGGACACGCCAGGGCTCAGACACGCTGCTGACATTGGGCACTGTCCTCGTGCAGAGGAGCCCACAGGTCCTTGGCCCAGCAGCCCGCAGTCAGCAGGGGCGACACCGTAACCTTTTCCTCAGTAGATGTGTCCCTCTAATTTTCCAAAGCGGGAAACAGCAAATAGAATGTTCTCCTGGAGAGTATCAAGTGTGGGCTCTCCTTAGAAGAAGACAGACCACGCTGGTCTCCAGATGTACAAACACAGCCCCCACAGAAGGCAAAATTCAGAGTGGAAGGAGTAGATGGGAAAAACACGCCGCTGGCCCTCACTGGGTCACTCTACAACCTAGCACCTGCCCCTCACTGGGCCGTGAGTTGCTCTACAACCTAACACCTGCTTTCAAGGCACTTACAAAATGCTCCCGAAAGAAAAGTACTTTGAAAAATGCAGCGCAGAACTCACAGATGAAATTCACTGTGCATCTGGCATGCTTTATGGCTTTTAATATTTTTAAGTCTATTAGGAATCCTGCCAAATAGTCTTTAAAATGTTTAAATCAAACCAAAAGTCGGGCTGAACGCCCCTTGCTTTGATGTTAATATTGAATCCTGCAGCCCTGGATGAAGATAAATCCATGGACTCTGGTTCACCGGGGGAGCTAACCAAGGGTGGGCTGACACACACGCTACACTCACTGTCCCTGTCAGGGGTGGGAGTTCCGTTCCTGGCCTGCTTCTTAGAAACCCAGCACAGGCGAAGTGGCAAGAGTCACCATGGTGAGGCTCAGCTGCCCCTAGATCTTTCCCCACCCCCCATGTGCTGCCCCAGTGCCCTCCTGCACTCACTTCCTCTGCCCCCTACCTTCCGGAGTTCATGCCCCCACTCCCTCCCTCTGCCCAGCCTTCCGCACCCGCACTCCCTCTCTCTGCCCAGCCTTCTGCACCCGCGCTCAGCCTCCCTCCCTCTGCCCAGCCTTCCGTGCCCGCACTCACTCTCTTTGCCCTTCTCCTTGTTCTTGAGCTGCTGCAGCTTCTGCTCCCGGTGCTGCTTCTCCAGCTCCTGCTCCTGGCGGTGCCTCTCCAGCTTCCGCTGGTGTTCCAGCAGCTCCTGCTGGTGCTTCATGGCCAGCATCTCCTGCTGTTGCTGCAAGCAGACGGAGCAGACAGATGGTCAGGGCCCAGGCTCCACACACAGAGACCCGATGAAGACCCAAGAAACCAGCCCAGGCCCCATGTGTCTGCCCTGGTGTGGCCCTGGGCACTGCCCTGCCCTGCACTGCTGCTATTTCAGTCCAAAAAAGAAGTCAGGGCCATTCCAGGCTCTGGGCATTGTCTTACCTTTTAAGTGGAAAATATTAAAAACAAAAGCCATTGGCTTGCTAGAAGAAAATATGCAAGAAGAGTTATGTTATCTTGCAAGTTGGAAATGCTATTTTGAGAACAACTTAAAGACAGTGAAGAGAGCGTGAAATGGTACAACCACGTCAGAAAACTGCTGGGCACTTTCTTACAAAGTTAAACACACATCTGCCCTGAGACCCAGCAATCCCATTCCTAGCTATTTATCTGAAACACGGAAGCACACCCACAGAAAGCCTGTACAAGAACGTGCATGGGATTTTTGGTCACAGACCAGCCTCAACGCAACTCACACATTCCCTCGAAGGTGGACACTTGGACAAATGATGTGTATTCATTAAAGAGAACACCACCTATCCATAAAAAAGAATAACCTACGTGTACACAAGAAAACACAGGGGAACTGCTAAAGAGCAGGTGTTGGCAGAGGGTGAAAGAGCAGAGAGAAGAGGCGAGACTGGAAGACCCTCCACGGGGCCTCTGCACTCGCAGCTCCAGTTCCGCACATTCCACCACGGCCTGGCGTGGAAATACAGGTGGTTGGCCCTCAGTGTCTCCAGGCTCTGATCCTCCGTGGGCTCAATGAGTGGAGGTGAAACCCAAAAATATGGAGGGCTGACTATATTCACATGAAGTTCTAAAACAGAAAAAACGCACGAGGATAAACACATCAGAAGAAGGCTGCCTCTGAGGAGGTGAGGGAGGGCAGTGGGGGCCGAGGCAGGAGGAGACGCCCCAGTGGATGGAGTGTCCGACCTGTCGAGTGTCCACAGGGGAGGGCACAGTCGCCCAACAGCACCCTTAAGGGCTGGCATTCTGCTGAGTATAAATTATATCTCATATTTCAAAAACTGACATAGACATAAAAATGTTTGTCTTAATAACAATTAAAAGGTAGAAGGTAAAATAAGAACTGCAGTATTTATGACATACAGATAAATTTTACATAAATGGTTGTTATACATTAATGAGAATATGACAGGCAGCCCACTAAAAAGTTGGGCAAAAAAGAACAGGAGATGCACAGAACTGTTTAAAGATAAATGGGGACAAATGTTCAAGATCGCTAGTGAACATTCCCCACGTCACTCACGGTATTAGAAAAGGTGAAAAGGAACAATTTGGCCTGGCGCTGGTGAGTGTGGGAAGGTGCAACTGACCAGACGCCCTGAGAGGGACTCCTGCAACCCCAGGGTACCTCTGTCCTGGGACCCAGCCCACGCTCTGGGGCTCCCGCACATCCTCCCGCTCCTCCAAGACGGCTCTGCTCTTGTTCGCACGCTCCAGGGTTCTGTCTGCACACAGTTTCCTCAGTTTCCACACAAGCCCCTGGGCCAGCCCAGGGGAAGTGCCAGGCCTCCACAGGTGTGAGGAGCTCTGCCACCTGCCTGCCGGGGAGAGCCTCTCCGCCACCCTCTGTGGCCCGCACGTGTCCCCCTCATGGTCTGTCTGCTGTCCCCAGTACTTGCTCAGTTACCAGGTGTCTCTTGTCCCATTGTCTTTTTTTATTTTAGACACAGGGTCTTGCTCTGTTGCCCAGGCTGGAGTGCAGTGGCACAATCATAGCTCACTGTAACCCAGACCTCCTGGGCTCAAGTGATCCTCCTACCTCAGACTCCCAAATAGATGGCAGTTAATTAAAAAAAAAATTGTAGCAAACGGGTCCTACTATGTTGCCCAGGCTGGTCTCGAACTCCTGGGCTCAAGCCATTCTCCTACCTCAGCCTCCTGAGTAGCTGAGCCTACAGGTGCACACCACCGCACCCAGACACGTTTTTTTCTTTTTTGACGAAACAAGGTATTGCTCTGTTGCGGGGACTGGTCTCAAACTCCTGGGCTCAAGTGATCCTCCCGCCTTAGCTTCCCAAAGCTCTGGGATGAGGGGCGTGAGCCGCCTCACCCGGCCACTGTTGGGATGCTTTTTGTTGGTCTTGCTCCGCTTATGGAGGGAGAGGGGATGGTGAGAGGGTTCGGGGTGAGCAGACATCCTGGCAACCAGAGTGGCCCAAGGAACTTTCTGTGGAGGAAACTTAGTGAATCAGGGGCACTGGGCTGGCTCCAGAGTGGGGCTTCTCCCAGCTGGTGGTTCTGCCTGGAGGATGAGGCTCAAGCCAGGGAAAGGATGAGCAAGGCATAGAGTGGGGTGTCCGTGCGAGGCAGCCACTGGACGCCTGTGCTCCATGAGTGACCGTGCTGACACAGCAGGACTGGTGCCCACGGGATGCCACCCGCGCCACACTGTCGTCCCTGTGTATTCTTCAATCCCTCTACGGCAGGTGTGCCCACCTCCGGCCGTGGATGGGTGGCAGTCCCTGGCCTGTTAGGAAGTGGGCCACAAAGCAGGAGGTAAGCGGCAGCCTAGGCAGCATTCCCACCGGAGCGCGAGCTCCTGCCGGATCAGCGGCGGCATCAGATTCTCTCAGGAGTGTGACCCTGTTGTGAACTGTGTGTGGGGGATCCAGGATGCACGTTCCTTATGAGACTTGAAAGCCTGATGATCTGAGGTGGTGGAAGTTTCATCCCAAAACCATCCTCTTGCACCCCCCACCCCTGTCCATGGAAAAAACCACCTTCCATGAAACCAGAGTCCCTGGTGCCAAAAAGGTCGGGACCGACTGCCGCCCTACAACAGATGTACGTCACTTCAGAGCAAAGGAAAATGACAGTGGCTGAGGAAAGCAGGTGAAAAGGATTACAAAGTCGGGCAGAGGCAACCCTGACAGAGTCGGGCCAGCAGGGACGGGGGCCTGGGTCCCTGAGATGCCACAGCCTGAGAACCCACCACGCAGTGTGCTCAGGGCGGGAGACGGCACGAGCCTTCAGCTACAGGGCCTGCTTCTCCAGGACAACAGGGCCGCCTGCACGGAGAGACATGCACATCAACCTGCTTGTGCACACAAGTGTGTGTTCTGAATGTCAGTGTGCGTGCAAGGGAGTGAGCACGTGTGTTCCAGGCGCCTGTGAGTGTGCAAGGACGCTGCCCTTCTCTGTGGGCACTGAACCTCAGTGGTGTCGGCAGGGTGATGGGGGCGGGCAGTGTGTGTCCGGGAACATCTCTGGCATCTTGCTGGGTCCTTCTTCACATAAGAGGCCGGAGCCGACTGGCGAGCTCCACACCCTTGCTGCCCCTGCAGAGCCAGCTCCCAGGTGGCTACCACACCCTGTCCTGCGAGAGCCTGGAGGTCCAGCTCAGCCCCCAGGCACCCGGCACACACACCTTTCAGACCCCTAGGCTTCTGGGAAGATCCAGGCTGCAAAAACAGCCTGGCCGAAGCCCTTTCATGGTCACAGGCGGTGCGGGGGAGGAGGAATGGCCCCACCAGGGACATCAATCCCCCTTCCTGGGCCTCGCTTCCCACTGCTGAGGACTCAGCCAGTTTCCACGACCACCCAGAGCCACTTGTAAATGGGGAAGGGAAGAAAGGATTTCGGCTTGCTCACAACCTCTTCCTACTCAAGATGAGACATGCCAGTCACCCCGCGTGTCTGTAACTTGTGTGAAATTCGAATCACATCATGTCCACAATGTTAAATGTAACATCAACTGTATAATTTTGTAAGGTAAAACTCCTCATTCTTCCATCCTGTAAGTAAAGCCCCAGCCCAGACAAGGGACAGAGACACACACTGGCCAACCAGATGGCATTCAGCAACCTCAAATTTGCGGTGACAGTGAATAAGCAAAATGAACATGACTGCCTCTCATGAGTGCCCCATGTGGATGGAAGGGTGTCCTGGACTGCTGCCCCCATGGCCCACCCTGAGGAAGGGTCCCCAGGCGGAAACCGCCTGCCCCATTGCGGTGCCTCCGGCAGACAGCTCTGGAGTGAGGCCGCCCCAGCCTCCAGGATAGAGACCACAGTGCTAGTCTTTCCCGGCCCACCTGAGCTGGGCCATTGCAGCCTGCAGCCCACAGCCAGCCTCCCTCCCCACTGCCCCATGGTGGCAGAAGTGGCCTGGATGGCAGAGCCCCACAGGAATCGCGTTGAGTCCAGGGCAGTGGGACCTCGGGCTTTAGGTAGGGCTGTCCAGTCACACTTGTGGTCACACACAGCGAGAATTTATGGCAGCAGAGAGAGCAGGTCAGCATCCAGACATTGGGGACAGGACCTGCCTGCTCTCCCCACAGACAAAAAGCCCTGACCACAAACACACCCACCCACCTACAGCCCTCACAAAGGGGGTGGGACTCAATTCCAGCCAGGAGCACGGGGGTAGAAAAGCCGGAGAGGTGGCGGGAGGTAGGCCCACACCCAGGGAAAGAGGGAGAAGGGGAGGGGCTGAGGCACGACCCTACCCAGGCAGGTGCACCCACGGGCTGCCTTCCAGCATGAGTGCTGCTCCTGGCAGATGTGTGGGCACAGGCAAGGCAGGAGGCCTGGGTGGGCTGAGGGAGAGGGGTCTCCCACCATGCCTGGCAGCAGTGCGTGCAGGAGGGGCAGGGAGGGCCGTCAGGGCTGGGCTGCACACACCAAGCATCTCACCTGTATCTTTCCCATGGCAAACACTTAATTCCGAACAACCCACTTAAATGAACTTCTGGCGGATGGTGGGATAAACGTAAGCAAGCTCTTGCCACCTCCTTCATCTGGGCAGCGCTGGCCTCTGAAGACTCACAGGTGGTCTGCGGCATGCTGGCTGGAGGGCAGGCTGCCTGGCCAAGAAACCCTGCTCCGCCCGTCTGCTCGCTGCCAGCACACTTCCACCTAAATATTTAAGCTGTCCATGCTGGGTTAAACGTGGGACCTGCCCCAAGGGTTCCTGTGAGGACTGGAAGAGGTGGCATGGGGAGAACGCTCAGAAGAGCTGGCCTGGGTTCGCCTCCGTGCGGCCTGGTCGTCATCAAACTGTCACTTTCAAAAGATGTCGCCTAGAGAGGCCGACTTCCTGCAGACACTAGATGTTATCCTAAGGTAAAATCAGGCCCCCTCAAGACTAGGGAGATACTGCCCGGAGCACACCTTCCTAACACAGTGTTCCTCGCGCCACACGCAAGCAAAGTCCCTCTACCAGGACAAACATCTGGGCAAGTACAGATTCAGGACTCTGCCTTGGGGTGCCGGAGCTGTGTACACAGGTAAAAGTGCCCTGAGGGCATCCCTGGGCCACTCTCTGCAGATTGGGAATGCCACCCACAGGTTAACCTATAAACGGCAGGTTAACCTATAAACGGCAGGTTAACCTATAAACGTACAACCCACAGGGCTTCGGGGCGCTTCTCAGCTCAGAAAACAAACACAATCCTTTGTTGAACTGATCTCCTCATTATGGCAAGCCCCTCCCCTCTGGCTGTCACCTGCACAGGGCCCCTTGGCTCCCTCCCTCCTGCTGCTCAGAGCTCACTCAGGGCGGAAACAGAGCGGACAGATGCAGCCTAATGCAGTCCCACAGTATCTATTTGTCAGCCAGAACCCAGAAGGAAAGTGAGCTCTTTCCACCATCATTTCAAAAAGAATGAAAACAACAACCATGGCTGCTGGGGATTAAAATTCACAGGAAGGCAAAACTCCCAGAAGCACGACTGTGGTGGAGTTTTAATGAAACCAGCAGCCACAAACGGTGACTGATTCCCTAACTGCCCCCGGCAACGCTGTGTGATCTCACGCTTCGCTTGTGCAGGGAGGCATTCCACCTTATTAGATTTATAACGGATTATCTGCAGAGCAAAGCCTGCAAAGTGAAAGTCGTCAGGACAAACTGGATTTCAACACTCCTTGTTTACAGCACAACCTCAGACGTCAGGCCTGTTTCTTCATCTTCTGACACAGGGACCCTCTGCCCTTGGCGCTCTTGGAAAATGCTGACGAACCACAAGGGAAGATGGCCATTGCACTCTTCTTCACTCCTGCCCCACACCCTGGCATCGTGAATAGGTACTTATTCTTCGTGGGGCACCCTCAGTTGGTTTCCGGAGGGCAGGTGCGTCACTGGAGTACCGAATTCAGGCTTCGAAAAACAGGACTTCGAGATGCGCTTATTTTCAAGTGAGCTAAAATTGTCTGCAACTAATCCCTCACTAACATTTCACGTTAGACTACTCCGTGGGGGAAGGGCTGTTGGGAAGCAATTTTTTGCAGACTGAAACTATGATGAGCAATTTAAAATAAGATGACTATGACCTCGTTCTTCTAAGAAAAGCAAAAACAAAACCAATCATAGCTGATCCTATTACTCTAACCAGACTTTAACTCTACTTGAAGTGTACACTGAACTCTGAACCAAATATAGGAGCCCTAGAATTTAGTTGCTTTGACTCTGACTTCAGAATTTAATATACAAATATTCAAGGGGTAACCCAAAAAGATTTTCACTTTAAAAAGTAAACTTCTGAGTTTCTTGTGTCTCTTTTTCAACTTGCCAGGGGAACAGCCCCAGAGTACGGAGACGCTGCACCCACATACAGCGGCAGGCGCCAGGAGGAAAGGGCAGAAGAGTGGACGCCACGGATGGTAAGCTGCCACCCATGGATGGGAACACCAGGCGCAGACCAGCCGCGGCACCCATGGCTCTCCAGGTGTGTGCCCATGTGCCCCATGGGTCGACAGACCCCACTGCCACGTGCGTGCGCCTCTGCTTAGCTTGGGAAGCAGCTCATGCTAAGCAAAGGTGCGCACAAAGTCTTCCCGTCTATTCTTAACCCTCACCCAGAGGCACCACAGAGGGACTCTGCTCTAAACCAAGGGTGAGCTCCTGTCCCCGCCTCCCCACCGCACCCCTGTCCTGGCATGGCGCCCTGGATCAGGTATTCAGCACAGCCCAGGTGAGCTCTGAGGCTCACTGACGGCTGCCTCAGGTGACCGGAAAGCTGAGCCTGGGCAACATCTCTTCAGCTTCCTCGGCCAGATATTAAAGAGAATAAGGATCATGGCCCACGCTCCCAGTGCCAGAAAACTAGGTTCCTTTCCACGTTAGTCCCTCCCTGAAAGGAAGAGTCACATTATCAACTAAACAGCTCTGAAAACTCTCTCCTACCCACTGTGCTCTCCACAGCACAAGTCACACGGACACACACACACACCACACACACACACACACACGCACACATGAAAAAGAGGCCAGCCTTGCCTCTTTTTCATGTGCAAAAAAGACATGCACACTAAAACAGTGTGTAAATGATTTTTATTTTTCATGCATTCACCTGGGAATACTCTGAAGTTAGGGAAGAAAAGGCACGCCTTCCACCACTGCAGGGAGAAAGGGTAAAAGCCTTGCAGGACGGCCATGTGCAACCTACATACAAAACGTGCCCTGTACATGCCCTGGAGGCTGTGCCCTATGCGGGGGTCCCACAGTGACTGCCCTGGAGGCTGTGCCCTATGCGGGGGGTCCCACAGTGACTGCCCTGGAGGCTGTGCCCTATGCGGGGGTCCCACAGTGACTGCCCTGGAGGCTGTGCCCTATGCGGGGGTCCCACAGTGTCTGCCCTGGAGGCTGTGCCCTATGCGGGGGTCCCACAGTGTCTGCCCTGGAGGCTGTGCCCTATGTGGGGGGGTGTCCCTCAGTGTCTGCCCTGGAGGGCTGTGCCCTATATGGGGGGGTCCCTCAGTGTCTGCCCTGGAGGCTGTGCCCTATGGGGGGGGGTCCCTCAGTGTCTGCCCTGGAAGCTGTGCCCTATAAGAGGGGAGCCCCAGTGCCTTCTGGGGAGAGGTGCACCCCATGGGGGGTGCCCTGTATCTCCTAGGGAGAGATGTGCCCTATAGAGGTGCCCCAGTGTCTTCTGGGGAGAGGAATGCCCTACAGGGGATGCCCTGTATCTCCTGGGGAGAGGTCTGCCCAATGAGGGGTGCCCCGTGTCTCTGGGGGAGAAGTGTGGCCTGCAGGGGGTGCCCCATGCCCCCTGGGGAGAGGTGTACCCTAACTCCTGGGGAGAGGTGTGCCCTCTGGGGGTGCCACGTGCCTCCTGGGGAGAGATGCGCCCTGCAGGGGGTGCCCCATGTTTCCTGGGGAGAGGTGCGCCCTGCAGGGGGTGCTGGGGCCCAGGCTTGTGCTTGGGGTCTCCCACATGCCCCTGCTCTGTTACTCACTGGCCTGGGGCATGCTCTAGCCATAGCATCGTGGCCTGTCCTTGGACCCTCTCTGGGTACCTATGTTTGTATTCTCCCTCTCCATACACTTCTGGGAGGCATTGATCAGAAATGCAAGAGACAGGCCAGGTGTGGTGGCTCACGCCTGTAAACCCAGCACTTTGGGAGGCCGAGGCAGGCAAATCACTTGAGGTCAGGAGTTTGAGCCCAGCCTGGCCAACATGGGAAAACCCTGTCTCTACCAAAAATACAAAAATTAGCAGCCAGGTGTGGTGGTGCATGCTGGTAATCCCAGCCACTCAGGAGGCTGAGGCATGAGAATCGCTTGAACCTGGGAGGAGAAGATTGCAGTGAGCTGAGATGGCACCACCGCACTCCAGCCTGGGTGACAGCTGAGCGAGACTGCCTCAAAAAACAAACAAACAAAAACACAGAAGTACAAGAGAGAAACTTCCACGCTCATCTGGGATCCGCTTCTGAGTGGAAAAGCACTGTCCGAGAAGGAGAGGCGAGGCTGGGTCTAAACCACCACAAAGAGCCAGGAAACAGGGAAGTCCACGGGGACCACGAGCATTAAAACTCTCCTAAAAGATCCTATTTACCCAACATTAATAATTTAAGTTATATTTTTAAAATGATTCCCTTTTCAATTATAAAACTCTATTCAAATTCACTGATGATTTAATGACACTAATTAGATTTTGTGTTCAAGAAATCTGTCTGACAAACACCACTGCCAAATGTCACTAACAATATGATGGCTTATAAAGAGTTTAAATCATCCAAACAAAAGCCTCCTAAAGTAATGAAACCACTATGTAGTTCAAATGGCTTTTATAACCTCTATTTCAATGAAGAAATAAATGATTAAAATGCAAAGAGAAAGGCAACCTTGAACTTCTTTCTGTGCTTTTGAGACCCTGGCCCAGAGACTGGCTCCAGAGCCATGGTTCTGGGGTCTCCAGCCATCTTTCAGAGGGTCTGCCACTGGGGGTGGTGGGGTGGGCTCTCCCAGGGACCCCTCCAGGAATGAGGAGCATGGCCTGAAGGCCTGGCCTGTAGGAGCGACGTGAGGACTGGGATCAGGGTGCTTTCTTCCAAGCAGTGAAGCCAGCTCCTGGGGCACCAGAAGAGGAGAGGCAGAGGGGTTCTGGAGGTGGGACCTGGCCTTGCCCTGAGGTGGCAGCACTGACCCCAACTCAAGTATCTTCTTTATTTCTTTTGGCCTCCTACGACTACCGTGAGGAGCCCCGGTCAAACACATAGGGCTTAGGCTTACTTCTCAGCTTCTCATCTATGTCTTCTTTTTGTAAAAGCTACACATGCAACCAGCATGGAATGAGACATCAACAATCCCATCTCCTTAACCTCACTCTGCACCGACACCCGTGGCAGCTTTGGGGTGGTCTCCTAATAATGCGCTGTGAATGCTGCAGCTGGATCAACGGCGAGGACTACAGGGCTCACCAGGGCGCAGTGACAACAGGAAAAATGGAATTCAGCAGGAGCCCCCGAGGCCATCCTCAGCCAGGAACTGTGTTGGGCTGCAGGAATGCAGCGAAGCTGGAGTGAGCCAGCGGTCCTCATGTCTCCCAGGCAGGCGGGACCAGCGGCCGACGGGGGCTTCTGAGAGTTACAGGGCAGTGCCTGGGTCAAGACTGCTGTTGGGGAGTCCTCAGGCTTGACATGGGGTCGCCAAAGTGCAGAATACAAAGGAGCTACGATACTCATCTTAAAAAATTACTTCTAGGAGTCATAGAATGTGAGCCTATGGCGCAAAAACGAAATAACACGAGTGGCCTCTTGAGGGCTGCTCTTGGCCGGTCACGGAAAGGCCGGTGAGCTGAAGCCCTGGGCGGGATGCAGAGATTGCCTGCAGTGACTCCCCCTGACCCGCGCCTTCTGCCTGGCACGCACCTGTTTCCTGCAGCCAGCTTGAAAACTCTTCTCCCAGGCTTGAAAAACAGCAGCCAGTTGCAGTTGCTCATGGTCAGGGCTGTGAGGGAGGCAAGCCTGGCCTGTCCACAGCACAGAGCAGCGCCATCAGTAAAGTGAAGACTGAGTCCTCTCTGTGTTCCGCCTGCCGGGAATGTTGGGATCACAGGGATCCCGAAGCGTGTGGTGCTTGTGGAGCTCTCAACTGCTCCACCCTAAACTCGAGTGGGCTTGTTAAAATGGACAGGGTCCCAGTGGAGGCTGGTGGGCCAATCTCCACAGGGACAAGTGACGTGTTTGTTACACATGGCTGCTAGGTTGCTCTGAATTCTGAAGACAAAAATGATAAAGCATGGACTGAAAGAGCTCAGGAAAGTGTCCTCTCCTTGGTTTGTTGAACACTGACATTAGCAGGCCAGTGCGTCGGGAAAAAGCAGCAGCAACAACTCCCAAGCCAACAAATGTCAAGGCAATGGTGCAAAGTCCAAAGACCCAGAGCCCCCAAGCAGCCCCTCAGGGTTCAGCCAGAAACCTCCCAGCCCCTGTTCCCTCAAGGCCAGAGGGGGCCGAGGACAGAGCTCTCAGGGCTCACCTTTGAAGCACAGGCACTCACAGAATGGTTTGGCACCCATGAGAGGGGACACGGAGCTGTCCCTGAGCCTGTCCTCCAGGGCCAGCCCAGCTTTGGGATGCAGCCTCCCCTGCAATCTGCCACTAAGTCTACAGACAACTGATACTACTACTTTACTTCCATTTCTCAACAGTGATTATGAAATAAAGACACTGAACAAAGTGTCTTACATATAAAGGAAGGGAAACTGGGATCCTGTGGTCAAGAGAATTACCAGCTAGGGCAGAAACAGAAGGACGCACCCCTAAGCTTCTCTGCATACTAGGTGGACACAGTAATATCTGCATGTGGGCTAACGCCAGGTAGCCAAGACCTCAGCTGAACAACTTCTACCCACGGACCACGTGAGCATCTCAGAAGCACCAGGTAGCATATGGTCATAGGCTTTTGATGCTCTACATCTGTGCTGTCCAACAGGTGCCATGAACCACGTGTGGCTCAAAATGCAGCTGGCCCGAATGGAGACATGCTCTGTGTCTAGGCCCCAGTGACTTGCCAAGACTTAGCAAGAACAACAACGGCAGCCGTGTTGGTGGCGGCCTGCCACTTCCCAGATCAGGCCATGAGAGACCCTGTGGCTTCCATGTTGGCCAGGTTTCCTCTCGGGTTGCTCCCTCTGGGAAGCCAGCTGCTATGCTGTGAGCAGCCCTGTGGACGAGGACCTCAGGCCTCTTGCCTGCGGCCATGTGAGCGAGCCTGAATGGAGCTCCTCCCGCCTCAGTCCAGTCAGCCCTGCAGATGAGACCATAGCCCTGTCTGACATCTTAACAGCAACATAATGGGAAACCCCAGCAGCTAAGCTGCTCTAGGATTCCTGACCCACAGAGCAAGATAACGCAAGCTTGCTATTTTAAACTGCTAAGTGTTGGAGTAATTTTATTACACAGATATACATGACTTAATCTGGTTTTGTGGGATTTTTCACTTTGTTTAATGTGACCACTAGAATATTTAAAATTACTGGTGGAATTTTAATATACTCATGTATATTTCTATTAGACAGTGTTGCTCTAAATGGTTTTAAATGCAGTGACAGCATATTATAATCACAGATATCATAACTAGCCTGCCAACTACATAATATAACTTTGCTACATATCACTAGTACATATTTCCAATTGATTTAATTTTAAAACATGGTATCAGATTAAATATTTGTAGAGAGTAAGTACCAAAAAAGTCTTTGTTTTTTCCTTACTGTATTTAAATTAAAATAAAATACTATCTTTTTCTAGTTATAAAAGGTTAGTAGAGAAAACAGAAAATATAGAGAAGTCCTAAGAAAAAAAAAACACACAGATTTGTCAATCCAGCTCCCAGCAACGATCATTAAGGTTCTGGTGCTTCTTCCCTTTGGTAGGTTTTCTATTTCTGGGCACGTTTCAGAGGAAATTAGGTGATAAGCATTTTTCCTATTTGGAATATGCTTCCACACAATGACTTGAGACCGCTGTTCCCACTCAGCACCACATCCCGTGTAATACACGGAAGTGCTGCCCGCGGTTTGTCGCCTCCTGCAGGAACCTCGCTTCATGCCTGGGGCCCCGGCACACGCCGCAGAGACAGAGGCCTGGAGTCACGGGAGTTCAGGGTGCCGGAGGCCTGGCCCACCCGCACCCACGCGTGCCGCGCCTCACCTTGATGTGCTCGTGGAGCTGCGCCTCGTGCTGCCGGGAGAGCTGCTCGTGCTGCCTCTGGAACTCGGCGATGAGGATCTGCCTCTGGATCTGCTGCTTCTGCTTGAGCGCCAGGAGCTCCTGCTGTAGCTGCTGCTCCCGCAGGGCGGGCTCTGCCACAGGCAGCGAGAACTGGTGGTCCAGGCGCAGGTCCATGGGCACTGCCGAGGGGGCCACTTGTAGAGGCAGCGCCGTGGCCACATCCACTGTGAGAAGAACAAGCAGGAGAGCCGGTCACTGCCACCCTCAGCCGTCCCCGGACCCCAGAGCCCCTGACCAACACACTAGCCACCTTCACGGGGGGGCCTGTGGACATTTGAGGATTAGATACCCCTCTACCCCTTTCCCCCTCTGGCCCAACAAACTCAAAATGCAAGACTCAGAGGCCTCTGGGGCCCATTCCTCAAGGACAAAAACCACAAAAGCCTCTGGAAGGTCAGACCAGGACACACTCCACAATCCCCGTTCCTTCTTCCACCCTCCCCGGGAGGCTGGCTCTCAGAGGACCCCGCTACAGGCCCGGAGGCCTTGCTGACGTCATTTCTAGAAGTCAGTAACGAGAAAAATAAAGAAAAAGGTTCTGGCTGGCCAAGGAAAAGAGCGGGCGCCAGCCCTCAGCTAGGAAGACTGCCTGCTCTGCTCCTCTTCCTCCTCTCCTATCGAAGCCACTGCACTGCTCTGTAAGAGCCACAAGAACAGTGTGTGCCCTAGAAGTGGTCCAGACAGACGCTCGAGACCCGGAGCCCGTTTCCATGGCGAGACAAGTGCCCCCTTGGAAAACATGTTTACCAGACACAGCCAACGAGACGTGCTCCTGGCTTTTGGCACAAATGCGTTCCACTGGGCATGCGTTTCTGCACCTCGCAAAGAAATGGATTTTCTGCCCTGTACTAATGTGCTATTGAGAAAAGGCTACAAGTAATTTTGATGAGGAACAGAAGCTGAATCAATTTCATCACTTACAAATCAATACCAAATGAAAGTGAGAAAAGTAACACAGGAAGAAGGGTAGGTTTAAATTACAATTATCACAAACAGCCCTACGTGCGTACCCCTTGTACGGCAGGTCTCTATTCTGAAAGCATGCAATGCGTGCGGGCACTCACTCTGAGCCAGCACTGCTCCTGGCACAGCCCAGGGACATCCTAGTGTCACTTCGCAGACACGTGGCTCTGCCGAAAACTTCACTGAGAGTTAAGTGAGAGCCCAGCCTGCCTGCTCCCCTCCCATAGGCCCACCCCTCAGGGCTCCCCATAACCAACATTCATGTGACCTGGGCCAAGTGGAAAGTTGTGGCCTTGCCCTCTAGGAGGGTCTCAAGCTCAGAGGGGTGTCTGAACCAACAAGAGGTCTGCTGAGAAAAGAGCTCCTCGCCCCTCAGGGTCAGCGCCTTTGGGCGCGACCTTGTCCGGGTGCCTCCCTGACAGCAGCCCACCACACTCACCCTGACACTCAGCCTGTCTCTGGACTGGCCTAAGACCAGGCCTTGTCTGTAACTCAGTTCCTAGGAAAACCTGCACTCCACAGTCTCAAAGCCACCGATTTGGGTGAAACAGCCCATAGGTAGCAGCTGCCCCTCAGTGCAAAGCATTTCCACAGTCACTGCCCAGGCAGCAGGTCCCACACTGTCTTTGTCTCCAAACCACTGGAGGTCCTGGTCCCAGGACTCAGCCTTCTCCTGAGAAAAGGGTGGGAAATGCTCTGGGGGAGGCCTGGGCACTGGCCGGAGCTTGGAGTTCTGATCCCCTGGGCTGCCGCTTAGCCACGGAAGCTGCAGTCACCTGAGCTCCTGGTGCAACCCCCAACTTTTAAAATGCATGTATTTAGTTTTTAATTGGGTGTCAACTTTGACACAGTAAAAGGTTTTCATTTGCTATTATGTGAGAAGAATCTACACACATAAACTGTATGTTCTATGTGCAGCAGGGAGCAGGGGTCCACCCCCCGACCCCACACGTGGACGAGGACTGTTCTATGTGCAGCAGGGAGCAGGGGTCCATCCTCCACCACCCCACACATGGGTGAGGACTATTCTATGTGCAGGAGCAGGGAGCAGGGGTCTACCCCCCAACCCCACACATGGGTGAGGACTGGACCCTATTCATTTCCTTTCTTCCCTTTTCTGATCATTTTTATGACAAAATACAGCAAAATGGAAAAACTATGCAAGCAATGCCAGTTTTATGAAACACCAGTGTTCACCTACATTTGCTTCAGACTTTCTTTTAAGGAATAAAATATATGAAAGGCAGGGAGGAGAGCCAAGTCAGCAAACTCGCAAACTCAGAGAAAAGAGAACGGGGCCTGGCTTCTTGAAGAAGACTCAGCTGGCGGGCTCCCTGCTGTGGGCACTGGGGGCTATGGGTCCGACTCTCACAAGCGCGGCGGCACTAAACACTTTCCTGAAAACACAGTCTCGTGAATGACTGTCAGGTTCCGGTTCCCTCTTCCGCGTTCATGGCTGTGATTGGCATGTGGTTCTCCTGGGACCAGTGCCCTGCAGAGTGACTTCCTAGAGCGCCTCAGGTGAGCTGGCCTGTGCTTTCCAGGGATAAACACAACTTTGTTCTTTTAAGTTACATAGTCAACATCCACGGTGAATTCATCAGTGAATGCATATACTTGTATAATTTAGAAGAACAAAGTTGCATTTATCTCTAGGAAGGGATAAAGTTAGAAAAACAAAATAACATGAACAACGACCATGTTATTTAGAATGCTGATGTCTGTATTTGCAGGTGAAACTGGTCTCTCATATTCTTTTTGTTTGGTTAAACAGAGACGTTTTAGCTTGAACAAATAAGCACAGAGAATAAGTAACTGCGCGGCGTTGCATCTTAGAAGCTGGGTTATTGCCACACCTCGCCTCAGCTGGCCCTGTGTGGGGGCATGGGTGGGACCCCTGCTTATAAGAGGTACTGCTGTGACCCAAGGTCCCACAGAGAAACAGGGTCCCACCACAGGCGCTGGGCATAAGCCTGACCTGCTGCTGGCTTTAGTGTGTCTCCCCTCCGTTTCTAATTTCTCACAGAGGGAGGGAGGGGGCAGCGTTGCAAATGTCTGGTGTTAATCTCTTTAAAAACCGAACATAAAACAACTTTTAAGGGATTGTTTTTATTAACTTCGAAAACACGACATGCCCGTGTATCTGCTCCTCATTCAGCTCCTGAAAGAACATTAATGGCTCCTGCTCTGTGCCAGGTGCTGTGGGTACGGGCCCAGGGCAGCTGCTGGGGCCCCGAGGAACAAAGGAGCTGATGGCAGGCCTAGGGAAGGGCCCACAGTGGGCTGCATCTCACTGAGGGCAGGGACTGCCTGAGCAAGGACCCAGAGGTCCGGGTGCAGGTAGAGGGTCATGGGGATGGGGGAGCCCAGAGACCAGCCCGTCATCTGCAATCTTAGAGTGTCACTCAGGCTTGGGGCTGGGAGAGCAGCCGAGGGCGCGAGGGGAAGCAGTAGCAACTCTGGTGCCGGGGAAGACCCAGCTTCTCAGGACGAAGTGGGGAAGGCAGGGCAGGCTCTGCACACCCACTGTTTGCTGGCCGAGTAGAATTTTCTTTCTTTAAACTTTTCTCAGATTCCCCTGAATCTGGAATCACAGGACATCTTGAAAGGAAACCCAAGTTCATGTTTGCTCCCAAGCATCTAACAGAGATGACACTAACGTGATCTTGATGCAAATGCCACTGAAGCTATTTCATCAGGGGCAGAGGCAAAATTCAATGTACTGAAATTCCCATTACAGCGCAGGCACCTAGCCAGATCCGAGCCCGGCGGGTCAATGCTGATGTGGGCCAAGGGCCCCCACCACCTGGGAGTTTTCAGAAATGGAAAATGATCACAAGGTTCTTCACAGGGATGCTGGCCAGCATTCACCATTGAGCGTGGAGGAGATGCGCTCGCTTGGACGCCAAGGAGGACAGGCAGCGCCCTCTGAAGGTGAGAACCGCTCCCTGGATGTCGCCTCATCTGGACAACCTATACGGTACTGGTGGGATGGAGGGGGCTGCTCGTTTTTGTTTTTTTTTTTTTTTTGTACAACTCATCTTTGCATCCAGTCTGCTCAAGACCTATTAATGCTTTAATTCCTAAGGCATTCATTCTTTAATCTGTTCTTTAAGCTGTTTTCTTGGAGATTTGTACAAGTTCTGCAAATTGATTCAAATTTCATCTTAAAAGGAGTCTGTCAACTGGACTGAGACACAATAAAACAGCCAGACATGGAACATGCTGAACGCCACGCCGCTGCCGGGGAACTCTCTTCTGAGGCTTGGGTGACGCTCCTGCCCTCCTCACAGGCACACAGCTGAACCTCCTGTGCGTGCATCACCTGACAGGTCACAGCTCAGCCCAGGTCTGCTCTTAAATTCCACCACCTGTGAAACAGCCAGTGAGCAGCCTAGCCCAGTACTCCCCACTCCCAAAAGACAGGACCCTACGGGGCGTGAAACTGCTGCCCAAATCTTCTGAATGTCGCTTACAAACTCCTTTTTCTGCTAAAACCTTCCATTCTGTGAGAGCACAGAGAGGATGATGCGGCCTTCAGCTGGGAAGCTGCTTCTTACTCCTCCAGGCCCCTGCTGGGTCACCCTAGAGCTGCCAAGGCCGGTAACTGAGGAGGAGGAGGGCAGGCAGGCAGGGCTCCTTCCAGCCACGCCGGCTTCTCCAGCAGTTTAGTGTGTGCTGGAAGCTGCTGGCGCTGATCCGCCCCTGGCAGTGCTGGTGAGAGGCGAGTCACTCCTCGCAGATCTGTGTCTCCAGCTCGATGCGTGTCTCCATATGGACACGGAAGAGTGCGGGTCCACTGAGAAGCAGGGGGGCGAGGGACCCTGCAGAACAGTCGCCTTCTGCTGAGAAGGAGCCTGGACTCGCTGGCACGGTACAGCCAGAGGGGGCTTCGGTGGGTGCCGAGGCTGGGGGGTCGGGCGCACCACTGAGCAGAATGCCGTCGCTGTTCTCACCACCGCACTTCCTGCATTTGCGCTCAGTGTAGGGAAGGGACGTTCACACTGCCTTGGTTTACCAGACTGCCACATGAAACTGCACTCTCTGCTAAAGTAAGCTAAGAGCAGAGCAGAGAAAATCAACAGCAGCACGTGCCTGCATCCCATACGGCACCTCCAGCCACGGCCATCGCTCACCTCTGAAGACAATCCTGTGTTTACGTTGGATTCAAAAACACAAATTCAATGTTCACAGGGCAAGG